TATATATATATATATATATAAAAATACTGGTTTGGTGTTAAATAATAAAAATAAACGAAAAAACTGCCATTATTATATTTTTCAGAAATACTATTTCTTTTTCTGGTTTGGCAAGGACTCCTCCACTACAAAGATGTTCACATAACAGGCTGCTGTAATAAACAGACTCAACAAAATGAATGCCATCTGTGCAGGTGAGGAGATTGTTTCATCTGAAGAAGATATAATAAAATAATAATAATTCATTTTATTTATGGGTGCCTTTGAACACTCAAGGACACTTTACAATTAATAAAATAGTAAATACATAAGCAATCAATGAAAAAAAACAATGCACAATAATACACAAAACTATATCAATCAGAATAAGCTCATCTAAAAAATGAGTTTTAAGACATGATTTAAAAATTAAGACATGGTAGTCAAATGTGCAGATGGTACAACTAAAGTCACAGAAGCAGAAGACCTGAGAGATTGAGTAGGTGAATACCCATGACGAAAGTTCATGCACATATGAAGTTGACAGATTATGAAGAAAAGTAAAATCATAAATTGAATTCGATATATTGCCAATGGAGTTGCCTTAACACTGGAGAAATATGCACAAACAATGATGTTCGTGTAATGATCCGAGCTGCTGAATTCTGGACAGTTTCTGTAAAACACCACTGAGAAGAAAATTACAATAGTCGATGCAAAATGTAACTAATGCATGTGAAAGGACAGCAGTACTATTATCAGAAAGAGATGATCGAAGACAGTGTTTCGCAAATTATAATATGCTGACTGAGTAATATTATTTATCAAAAGATAAAGTGCTGTCAAGGATGACACCCAGACTCTTAACCTGAAAAGAAGGGAAAATAACAGAATTATCAAGTCAATGTAAAACTTTCACAATTTTGCACTACTAATGCATACACCAAGGCATCATAATTTAATGGATCATAAATGTACAGTATGGCACAGATGTGAAACTAATCTTCCTTTACCATCTGAACAATTATGGATTAAGATACACCAGTTATGATGCAAGTAAACACATTTGTCAGTTTTGCAAATAAAATCTAGCATTAGCATCAGCATTAACATTTTCTTCCTTAGTTTGACTATGAATAATAAGAAAAATATATACATGTCAAGCACCGAACTATTGGAGCAAATACATACAAACTCGCTCGCACACAAACACACACACACAAGTTATCAAACTAATGATTAGCTGATGGTATAAAAAAATAGTCCATATTTGAAGTTTAAAATGATTTTATTGCTTATCTATACATATTGAAAAAATAGTGTATACTAATGAAAGATGAAAAGAAACAAAAACCTTATAAATTTAAAAATATAATAACTTTTAATGTATTTCATGCACACACTTGTTCTTTTTGAAGTCTGGTCTAATTTCAAAGATTTGAGAAACTGCACAAACAAAAGTTTTTTCAAGAATACATTTGTACAAATGTTCACTTGTTAATGAATAGCTGCGTTGTTACTGTTTCTTTACCTCTGCAAGCCATCAGTGCCATTAACTTTGTGTGACATCCTCTGAAATGTCCTCTGAAAATTCTAATGAGTTTCTATAGTTAAACACATTAGCTTCATTTTCAAGCCATTCCATAACGTTGCTGTTGTTGTGCACTACAGAAAGAAATTTGATGATTAAGAAAACTTTGCATGAACATGTTTTGATGATCAAATATTTTTAAAAGAGTTGGAGATACATGGATCATTACTATGGAAACTTAACAAGTCTATGTTTAGTTAGGATCATCTTTTTTGCAGTGAGTACAATTGAAGGTTTGCTGTTAGTTTAACAGCTGACAAAAATTATTATTCTGCAGGAAGTTTGTCAGACTTACTTTCAGGCGGAACCAGATCTACGCTTCCTCTCTCTAACTGGTCTTGGTCTGACTTGTTGGATCCCCACCCACTGTCACTCTCCTTTTCTGCTTCTTCCACAGGTGTCAGGAGATCTGTGTTTCCTCTGGCCATCATCTCCACTTTCTCCATCACCTCGCTGACCTGTTTCCCATCATCCCACTGCATGTTGTTAAGAACATGATATCTGTTTCCACATTTATTGATCAGCCACTGCAGAGCCCCTCCTTCACTCTCAATGTGTTCTTCAATAGTGGGAGTCCCCATCCAGTCTCCCCTGGTGAACACCACTAAGCAGTGCCTCCAAACATTTCGACCCAGGAGCTCAATGTGCTCGTTGACAGACCTTCCATATGCCTTACTGAAGGCGACACCAGACTGCAGAACCAGCAAAACTGCATGAGGTCCTGGTGAACACATAGTAACACTTGACATGATCTCCTGCTTGACTGACTCTGAAGTCTCCTTTACAGCCGCGTATGGCCACCATCCAGGTGTGTCAATTAAAATTATATTTCTCTTGTTGACCTTATCCTTTCTCATCACACTCGTTTTAGTCCTGTTCTCCTTTTGTGTTTTTTTTCAGGATGGTGTTCATCACTGAAGTCTTTCCAACAATTCTGGCACCCATCAAGACAATCCTTAACTCTGGAAAATAATTTTCTGCTAGAAAGAACAGGAAAGTTCATGAACAATTCTTAACATTCAGCTGGAGTTATATTACTTATATAATTAAAGATTTTCTATTAATTGTACAATGCTCTCCAACATTTTTTTTAAACCAAAGATGCACAATACCTGTTAGATGCTCTTGTAAGGTTTGCATCTTTATTTTTACTTGAATCTCTCTCTCTTCTGCTTGTTTCTTCACCTTTCTTCTCTTTTCTTCCATATCTTCAAACAGTTTGCGGTCAGTTTTAAAGGACTGTCCCACATGCCTTGCTACCAAGTTCTCTATCTCATGAAACAGTTTTTGTACATTTATCCCCCTGCTGTCAGTATAATTGAAAACATGAACTCTGTTCTCACACTTTTGTATTAGAGCATCAAGCTCTTTCCCTGCTCTCTCAATTAGCTGCTTGCAATCTGCATCTCTTTGCTCTGTGTTGATGTACATGAGCAGAACGATGGTGTGGTTCCAGATCTGCTCCCCAAAAATCTCCATGTGTTCCAGAACACTGTTTAGGTGCACATCTGTGAATGATTCGTGTAGATTGATGACTAGAAGGAAGGCATGTGGAGCAGGACACAGTTTTAAGCTGTGCACAATCTCCATCTGTATATACTTTGTACTCTCTGCCAGTGTGAAGGTCTTCCACCATCCTGGTGTCATTACCAAAGTAACAGACCTGTTCTGATTTGTCCTCTGAATCATTTCACTCTTGACTATCTCTTTGCCCACTTTACAGTCATTATGACCTAGAATAGTATTAGCTGCAGTGCATTTGTACTCTGCTTTACTGCTGATTATAATGACCTTTACATCTGGAAAAGCTGGACAATCTCCAAAAGAAAATATAGGCATCTGCAGTTTAACAGATTTGAACAGATTACAAGTTTTACAAATTAAGGATCATATTACAGATATTTAATCAAATGTATAGACTGTGTAGTTCGATAGTGCATGTATATTAGTAAGCAAGTGTAGAAAGCCTCTGTCAATACATAAAATTGCACACATTTAATGTTTTAGTTTGCCCTGCTTTCTTATTTTGAGTTTGCTATCAGGTGGAGAGTCAGATGATAATCCTATCTAATTTTGACAAGATTACAAGGTTACAAGAAACACTGTTTATCTTATCTTCCCATGTATATATGACATTGTATAGAAGTTGATGTATTTCCTCAGCAACCAGCACGGATCAGCTCCAGGCATGACAAAGCGGATATCATCCTCTTTTGGAAGGCCAAATAAAGTAGTTTCGCTTTCACAATGAAACACACAGTGCCTTCACGACATGGCGGCAGCAACAATACTACAGCGAGAATAAAAGTTACGCCTTCTTTCTTTGCGTGAAAATTTGGGCAGCATTATGCAAATCTTCCCACATAGTGATGTAGATATGTGGGGGCGTGTTAGAATGAGCCGATCTAGGTAGGCGTGGTTGACTCTTAACTTTTATAAAGAATATCTCTTTGGATTTGAGACTTTAGTCTTTGCAACTTTACAGATCTTCTTTATGCACCAAGAGCTTGTAACACTTCAAAGAAAAAGGAAAAATGTAAATTGCATCATATGACCCCTTAAATGTACATTAAGTAATTGAATAAGTAATTTATTTTAAAAGTCTGGTGACTTTTTAATGTAGGTTATTTGTTCTCAAATTCTTATAATAACACCTTTTAATCAGCTCTGAGGTAAGTTGCTGTTCACATTTCAGCTGCTGTTGTTTTCATCAGTGTTACAATTCACAATGCATTTTAGTGCAGGTTGTTCTAACCAAGCAACATTTCTGTGGTTCAAGTTATTTTGGTTTCAGTACCAAGTCACTTGGGTGTGTCTGATGACATTCCTTTATCCTTATGATACAATTTTACCACATACATAAACATTGCATACTGTGATAATTAAAGGGGTCATATGATGTTGCTAAAAAGAACATTATTTTGTGTATTTGGTGTTATGAAATGTGTTACTTACAGTCTGTGAGTCAGAACAGCCGGCATTGTAGTCTACTCTCCCAGGATCAGGAAACAGTCTTAAAAAAATGCACTGGACACATCGGAATATTTGGGTTGAAGTGTTCTGGAACAGTGTTTTAAATACAACTAAACCACTGATTTCTAGTCGTGTCCTCTTTTGGAAGGCCAAACAAAGTAGTTTCGCTTTCACAATGAAACACAGCGTCACACACGGTGGGCTAGAGTGAGCGGAGGCCGGAGGCCTAGAGTGAGCAGAGGCCGGCTTGAGTGAGCGGTGGCCCCGGGCTGGACTCCACTTCGTCCACGGTGAAAGCGATCCGGTGATCCACAGCGCGAAGTTGATGTATTTCATTAGCGACCAGCACGGATCAGCTCAAGGCATGACGAAGCGGATATCGTCCTCTTTTGGAAGGCCAAACAAAATAGTTTTGCTTTCACAACGAAACACACAGCGCCTTCACGACATGGCGGCAGCAACAATACTACAGTGAGAATAAAAGTTACGCTTTCTTTCTTTGCGTGAACATTTGGGCGGCATTATGCAAATCTTCCCACATTGTGACGTAGACGTGGGGGCGTGTTAGAACGAGCCGTTTTAGGTCAGCGTGGTTGACTCTTAACTTTTATAAAGAATATCTCTTTGGATTTGAGACTTTAGTCTTTTCAACTTTACAGATCTTCTTTATGCACCACGAGCTTGTAACACTCCAAAGAGAAAGGAAAAATTGAAATCGCATCATATGACCCCTTTAAATAATTTTTATCTTTTGCTTCACAAAAAAGGTACAAAATATCTCACTGGGGTGGTGCCTTTTCAAAAGGTACACCTTTGTACCTGGTTTACCCCATAATGGTACGTACCTTTTGAAAGGGTACTTACAAATTGATTACAAGTTGAAACCAAATAAAATCTTCATGGTAATTGGAAGCTTATAATGCATATAAAACATATTATCTCTCAATATTATTTACCCAAACAAATATTACTTAAGGCATGGCTAATATTTCAAGTAATAGGTTTTTGCAGTTATTTAAAACATATAGATTGTGTTACATGTTTTCATGATACTTTCCAAAACCATCCATCTGTTTTAACTGGTTTGTGGCAAACATTTAAACATGAAATTTTTAACATTTAAAGAAAAGAAGCTCACCATAATTATGATCCGAACCCCCTTCTGCTTCCATCATCTGTTGCAGGCCGTCAGTATATATGATAGAAATAGATCTGGCTGCCCTTAGCCCAGCTTTCTTACTATGTCCTGCATTCGTATAATGATTTCAAATATTTTCTGTTTGTTCCCGTACATGTTTTAAATGTGTCTCTGGACTGGTTAACTTGATGTTCTGCTTTATCAATCTCTCCAAAATCTAAAGTACAAACTCCACCCCAAACTTACCGAGATAGAAAAGACAATAGAGTTACAAACTTTCTCACCATACCTTTTCTAAATGTTGCTATACATTGTGTTGTCATTAAGCTGTTTTTGTTAAACATGAAAAATAAATTACTGTTGAAGTAATTAAAATAACACCAAATAATAAGTTCTTTACCCTGTTCTCTCGAGTGTGATGTGCTTGTATTAAGAAATTTCACTTTTGTTTTACTTCATAAACAAGAACACAGTCTGGCAAATTAGGCTGTTAGATGTTCAAATTAGATGTTCTGTTAGAGGATACATTTACATTTCGTTAAAAAAAAATACATTTCGTAAAAAAAAAATGTATATATATATATAGATGTTCAAATTAGATGTTCTGTTAGAGGATACATTTACATTTCTTTAAAAAAAAATACATTTCGTAAAAAAAAAATGTATATATATATATACACACACACACACACACACACAACTTGACTAAAATATAAACATAAATAGAAAAATTAAACATGATGACTAAGGCACACTGCATATTGTTACATCTTGATTAATGAAATTAATCAATTAATGAAATTTCTTTTTATATTTGTCTGCAGCATAAAAATGTTTTTATGCTTTTTATACAGTTATATTTAATGCAGAGAATCACCTTGAAATCTTAGACATAATCTACAAGATATATGCATAAAATATTGTATGCAATAAAACACTTAAAGCAAAAACAATGGGCTTGAGTTATTTTCTTGTTTTGTTGTTGTTATTTTGTTTTGTGTTTGTGTGTGTTTTTTATTTGTGTTTTTATCCATGTAATAAAAGAAAATGGGCACCAAAACTGTTTGGTTACCAAAGTAAATTAGGGTGGGGGTTAACGCAAAAACAGCATAAAAGTGTTTGAGATAAAATATAAAATCTTTCCATTAATATTTATAGGACAATATGTAAGAGGGGGTGTGCTTTAAAGTTTCAGTGCATTTTGTATTATTGGATACTGCAAAAAATTTTGACTTGGTAATTAGTAAAATTAAATTAATAAAATTGCTAAAACATCTATGGCCTACATGGCAAAGTAAGTTGAGTCTGGCCTAAATTATAAGCATTTCAAATTACTTATAACTTTGTCAAAAGATTTATTTGTGGTATGTTCTAATTCGAAGTCTTAAAACACCATAAATCAAATCCTTCGTATAGGCATTTTTTGCAGTTAATTAAATTTATTTTAATTGGTTATACATTTCTTTTTATAATAAACAAAAAATATAAAATCAATATAATAATACGCAACCACTGAAGTATAAAATTCAATAATCACTGTTTCAAAAGTGTAGTCAGCTTCAGCTGGCCAAAATCCTTTTAGGGTTCTAGCAGCAGAACCACAATGAGTTATATTCGATACATTATCGCAATATGTGTAAAAGATCTAAAATAAATAAACAACTAGGCAAGATAATTGCATTTCTTTGGAACTATACAACAATGCTGAAAGGTCAGAAGCATTAAAAAAAATCACATATCAAACATTATAGGCTTTATGGGGTTAAAAGGCTATCAATCCATTATTTTTGGTTCAAAACAAAACTTATTTTTACAAAAACAAAAATATATCATTCTGCTCTCATTTCATA